GGGGAGAGGCATTCAGGGATTTCGCGGAGTCTCCACAGATCGTAACAAAGACAGTAAGCTAGTAAGACACTCGCTGAACTACGGACAAAATTAACGAGTTGCAACTTTACGCAGCATTTCATTTTATTTTACTTAAGACACTACGTGCAAAATAGTATCATATCAATGACAAATTTGACCTTGACTTTCAATTACTGTTTGACCAAAAATTCGGTATCATTATAATGATTTTTTTAGACCGTATATATACAGTCTGACTTGATTTAGAATATTACGTTTTTCGTTGGAACTTGACTAACCTAACATAACAAGGCAAGAGTAATTACAGGAAAGTTTAAACCAGAAGAATTCCCATCACCATGAAAACGTAGAGCGGCACCTTTACTAAGAACTAACGATTTTTAGGTTAAACGATAACCTCTGAACTTTTGCGCACAGAACAATATAGAAATTTGGTCTTGAATAATTCTTCACATCATACAAAAATATAGCTTTTGTACCCGATCGCCCCTTTTGCCTTGATGGGAAAGATCAACGTAAGATGAGAAATAGACGGGAAAATTTTGTATGGGAAAACTAACCAGAATTGACTTTTCTTTAATACGCAGAACATTTACTCGTATTTATGATTATGTTCATAGCTGCTGGGCCAATATATTTTAACGAAATCTTGAAATTTAAACTGTGAGGAAAGAAAAGGGGGCCATCCGGCGTGCCCGTCCATTGTCGTAGTTGGTTTGCATTTAGACGCCAAATAACTTCTTGACGGTGTAACCCTGAAATAATAATAAAAGTTCAAGTTAAGTATCTCCAGTATGTCTTCAAGTACTAAACAAGTGCTCCGAGGGTGGTTAACATCATTTTCCATTCCATGTTAGAAATAAAATACTGAAGACACTTCGCGCACGTGATTAAAATTGTCTAAACAACAACTCTCTGGAAACACAGGGCGCTTTCCATTGGATAAAAAATTCCGTTTTGAATTTCCGGATACGATGTATTTACAGTGACGAATGGAACAGCATTTTCCTGGATTTCCGCAAAAGAGGACAACCTTGTGAGGTAGAACGAAATTTTTGGAAATTTCTTACCCGGAATTTCCGTTCCATTTGAGTTTCTCTCGGAATTTTCAAGGGTTTTGGTTGAACGATTCGCTTTTCAGAAATTCAACAACTTCCTGATTTTCTGGAAACTTTCCCTGGAAATTTCCGTACCATTTGTCCCCGTTTCGAAATTCTCTAAATTTGTCGTTGAATGGAAAGGACCCAGAGAATTATTATAATTGTTTTCTCCTGGCAAACTTCGGTACAATAATTATATGGGTTATATTGACCAAGCGCGAGGTCAAGATGGCTGGATAATACGTTGAGGTCTACAAACTAGCGGAAACAAAAAAAATTATCGAGGCCACTATCCAGCCATTTTGACCGAAGAAGGTTGGTCAGTATGGTACAAGCCATTTGCCTACGAGATACATCAGCTTATACAGTAGAGTGTGAGAGTGTACCCACCGGCATACTGTAGAAGAAGATGCCAAGGAGCAGGCCGATGATGATTAAGATGAGAAGAATAAGGAGGATCCATTTATATCGTCGCCAAATAATGTATCGCAGGGTCTTGAACGGAGATGTAAACCACAGGAACGAGGTAGCAGGACGACTAGGGGAAAGTCAGATAAAGTCAAGTCAAACATGAGGAAGAAGAAGAAGAAGCCAAAAATGGAAACTGTGCTTCTAGAGGAACACCTTTTATAGATACTAATAGTAACAAAGCTCATTTTAAGACTCAAATTGATGACAAAGAGCTCATGACTGCCTTTACAACCAACTCGGGTCAGCTTCAATATTCCAGGAAAATTTCCTACAAGTTGGAATAGTTCGTAATATGTTCTTTTCCACAAGATGTCCGTGCAAAACGTTTTGATTTCCTTTAATGAAATGGTTTCCTGCGTGTCCCTTAATACATATCCAATTAGCAGTTAAATGTGCGCTAACACTTACTTTGGTTCCTCTAGAACAGGGTGCTGGTTTGGGTCCTCTCGCCCTTGTCCCGCGGGTTTTGCTGCTGCTTCGTATCCCGCAAGTAACTCAACAGTCATCTCAACTTTACCCTGCGGTCACAACATACAAGTTTGAATAAGAGTTGTGTAATGTTGTGTTACAAACGTATGCTAAGTATATCCCATAATGGAAAGTCGTTGCAAGTGTTATAAACTAAAAACAGGAAACCCATCCGGGATACACGGGACAGTGCCCGTTCCATTATTTGAAAACTAATGGACCAACAATAAAAGGATGTCACTGGCTGATTTCAAGCCGTGCAAAAACGCTCTATACTAGGCCGGATACATTTTACTTCATTTCAATTTTAATCACAGTGATGCGGAAAAACAGCGGCTGTGCTTGACAACTCAGTAGTTTGACAATAAGGTATAGCAAGAGCCAAATACACCTACAAGGGTTTGCAAAGAGCCTTATATGCATGTGCATGGCATCTTTTCGGTAAATCACCCGCTATTAGGGTAGAAAGAGAGATTGGCCTATAGACCTACAATGACATCTATTCAATCATCTTAAGAACTGACTGACCTTGGATGCATGATGGATAACACAAAAGATAGAAACTTTTTACCTCCTCCCTTTGAGAATACGTGGCTATAAATGAAGGGCGGGCACTTTTTCGAACATATTATTATAGAGACCGCAAACTTACGGAGCACACTGGAGGTGCGGCTGGGTCTGTTGTATCGCGTTTATAACAGGCCCACCAACCCCTCGAACTCTTCTGAACAAACAAGTCAAGGGTCTGACCAATAAGACCCGGATCTTTCTTTTCTTTGCCGCAGTGATCAGAGTTTTGACAAGGCTTATCCAACTCACTCAGATCCAATTCCCTCTCACCTGTGTGAAAAAGTGAAAAAACAAACAAACAAAAAAAAAACGTATTTTGATCAAATTAAAAGTCGCCACAATCCTCCTAATGTTAACAATCTAATCTTTATTTATTTAACCACAGTTATGAAATAACGGGTCTCATTTTTTAACCTTACGAAACTACATAATATACTTTTTGAGAAAACAGCCCCCTAAAAAATTCACATTTAATCATTAAAATCTTCGCTTTAATGATCAAAGTAAACAAGTTACTTTCCTTTTTTCGTCGCGGAATCTTCTTAAGGAAATTAAAACATGTTCTGCGTGCTTTTATCGAGGCATAGAAACACTCGTGGAAGTTTGGGAGAGCTCGAAAAAGCTGTTGAAACATTTGCCTCTCGGCTCGTCTTCTAACAGCATTTCTCGTTCTCCCACACTTCCACTCGTATTTCTATTTAACAATTAGATTATGAGCTTGAGATTTCTATCGCGTGATAGCTGACGAGGGCGCAGCCCGAGTTCACTATCTCGCATAGAAATCGAGAGCGAATAATCTAATTGTTTTAGTATAGATCTTCCAGTCGTTCAAAACATTATCTAAATCCTCTTCACAGATACTTCGAAAGCGCCAAGAAGTGGCCCTCAAGGGTAAACTGTTACGCTACTCACTATCTATCACAGAATAGATAGTGAGTGGGGTAGCCAATCAGAGATAGACATTCGTGATAGAAGGCTAGTTACTAAAACTCGATAGAAACACAAAACATGTTTTCCCTTTCTTAAATAGAAGGCTACACATACATAGAAAAGGTTAAACTGAATAAAACAAAATATCATGGACATCACCAAACAAGTTCATTATACTGAAAGATACGGCTTTTTTTCCTCTCGATGCCTTACTTTACATCATTTTCCAGCTAAAAAGTACAGAGCTGATTGTTTGTGTTTTGTTACTTGTAATGTGCAGCATGTCGTGCACATAAACAGTTCCACGAGCACAAATAAATTCTCTGCACGCCAATGCGTACCTATGAAGTCGTCACTAGAAAACGTGTCGTTCTCCCAGATCTGGAGTCTAAGTTTTGGTTTGGCTTTCTCCTCTGTCTCGTCAAGGCTCCAGAAGTGTTCCTAACCAACATAAAACTTGCATTAGACTTTTGCTCAGTGTTGCTTAGCGCAAATTTTTAAAGCCATTGACTGATTAAAGAATTCTCTTAGATAAGCCAAAAGTTGAGGAACACTGAACCTTTCTTTTAACGACCAACTTCTTCTCAATTGGCATATAATCAAAGGGGAACACCATCCTCCAGTTGAAGTTGCCACTGCCATCCAGTGATCTGTTGAAATCAGTGACGAGAATAAGTTGAAAGTTAACATGGTCAGTTCAGAGAAAGAGTTCATTGAAGTTATAATTATCTTCTGAGAGTCTTGTTACTGACACGTGAAGGCGTTCTTTTATCAATTTTGCGTGTTCTTCGTAATTTAAACGATGAAGAGAATTAAAATAGCGCGCCTTTTAGCATACTCTTTGGCCGCGTAATATGTGGGTGTATGTGGTAAAAAACAAAACAAACAAACAAACAAACAAAAAACCCAGTTTCTTTCTTACGAAGCTTACAAGCAAAACATGTCGCTTGTTGTAATTAAAGTTACCTGTAATGCACATCAGTCTTCTGTTTCTCGTTTTGGACATCGAGCCATCTAAAAAAGAACCAACCACATAAAACTGATCATTTTCTTTATGGATACCATCTATTATTGAGCAATTTAAGGTTCGATTTACAAAGTACTTGCAAAACTAACAAACATCGACTTCAACTCTCAGAGCAAACAACGCTGAAGGTTATACCAGAGCTAAACAAAATATAAATCATGAAAATACAATAATAAATCGCTACAGTCAAACCATTGAAAATCATTTGCGGATATTTTTGCTAAAAAGAAGGATGAAGAGAAACCACTTACGCCTTGACATAAATGTCACTCATCTTCTCTCCTGTGATCGACTCTTCCTCTAGCAAGACGTCAGTAGTATTCCAGATGATGACACGCAACTCTTGTCTACGTAGACAAAGAAAACGTCTCGAGACTGCATGACATTAACAGGCTTTTCATAAATGGCTTCCATCCAATAGCCCCTTTCCGGGTTGCCCTGAGCCTCTCTATCAAAGCGAGGCCTGGTGCACAACCATTCATATGAAAATGAGTTTAATTTGCATGTGAATGAAATCTCATTTTCATATGAAGGATAGGCACAGAGACACGCTTTGAGAAAGAGGCTAAAGATAATTCGGAAATGATTAATTTGAAATTCTTTTGTATGCATTTAAATTAGCCTCACTAACGTAACTTCGTTTGGGAGAAAAAATTATTTTCAATTATCAAATTAAAAACGAGGTTAATAAGGCTATTGTTAATACGAATTATGAATCTATAATTATGCAGCCATTTATGAAGAGGGTCAATATTCCCGCGCCCAGTTCGAATTCCCTAATAATGGGTTAGTAGCCCTGTACTCCCGCTAAACTCTGGTGATACAATATTTGGCATTTTATACGTACAGTTGAACTTCCGTTTTTAACACAAACACCATGCATAGAGTCACAGCGGAGTCTCCGTAATATTTAGGTGCATGTATGGAGGTACAAACTATATAAAATCTGGTTCCTCTGGGACTAAGTGAACTATCCCTAATATAAAGGCGTCCATCTTCTGGAGGTGTTCGTAAGGAGAGTCTCAACTCGTACGTATTGCCTCAAATTTTGAAATGTTAAAACCTCCAATGTTAAACAGCTGTTTCAAAACAGCATTCACAAGTTAACCTTTAACTTACTTGATGGGTTTCCGTTCTTGGATAACAACAGGTGGTTTCGGAGCACCGTCTTCCTTTGGAAAGATGTCGACCCACATTTGAAGTTTACCCTGAAAAGAGAAAGAACCAACAAATCGAAATCTTCTCAAAGACAAAAGAACCAAACACGGAGAACTGTAAAGAAACATTCAGAAATAAGCTAAAACGACCCAACCACTTTCGATCTCTAAAGGATCTCTAAACGCAAACACAACTGCAAGCGATGCTCACATGTCAATGTAAATACAATAAGTTACACAGAAAAAGACCATCTCGGTTAAAGGTTACCGTAATGATTTCTTTTGGTAGCTCAAGGGGTTTGGTGCTTTTTGTGGAGCGGTGCTTATTACGGAAGAGGCGCCCATTTATATCTGAATGTGGTGCAATACTTTTATAGAAAACAACAGATACTTTAAATCAAGAAGTGGGGCTCCGTAATGTTCAATATTAGGTTCAGATGCGGAAGTACACTTCACACCATAATTTGTTCGTGTAATCAGTTTATTCTGTGTCAATGAGTGCTTATGGTAAGGTGGAGCTTTTAAAGAAATTACACTCAATAGCCCTTTTAGGGAGCGCTCAGTAGAAAGGCGGTACTTGAAAGATACTAAGGACGGTGCTTATTAGAAGAAGGACGCTAAATCGAATTAATACGATAGTCGGGACATGGCACCGCCGTTGGAGACAAATTTTGTGCAAACTTGTTGGAAATTTGATTTTAATTCACTGGTTGTAAACCCACCATTTTGGATGCTTCAAAACAAATCCCATGATGTTCTACTGATAAATGTACATGAAATGCTTCACATACTTAGTTCAAGTCATTTTTTTTTTTTTTTTTTTTTTTTNAGTTAGTCAGGGACGTGTAGAAAAGGGCACAACTGTACCTCCACTGTCTTACGCTTTCTTCACCTATTTCTAAAATTTTAAATTTTACGCATCGCATATGAAGTGCTGCTAGTGTTGAATTTATCGTTTTTTTTTTTTTTTTTTTTTTTGTAAAAGCCTCCTTTACCTGCTCGATATCTGGCTGAACCGGACTGTACAAGGATCTGGTTTCAACGTGTTCGGGCACCAAATTGAACGTGTGCAGAATGTGAAGAGCCAAACGTTCATGAGCAGCTCCAACCTCGCCCGCTGGAGGAGTTCCTTCCTCTGCAAACGATTAATGGCAAATAATTAAGTTGCGTGCCAGATACAATAACCGAGAAGCTGAAAGCGGTCCTGAAAGTTGTGTACTCGGAGTTTTGAAGTGGTGTAATTCAGTTCCTCCCATAATATAGAAAGAAATAATAATACTGCGAGTCAAAACATTGCTTGAGTCATAATCTAATATGTATTAAACGGTTGTATCCCTTGGAGTCAAATAGGCTAGCCGTCGCAAAAAAACTGTTTTCCCGTCACACGCATATTTTTCCAACAGTTTGCGTTCGACGAATAAAACTCATAAAATTGATTTTGTAAAAGAAGTAAACGAGGTCAAAAGTGAAAAAAATTTTGTTCCCTTTAAACTTATTCAAACAATATTCTTTGTAAAACACTGACACCAACGTCGCTGCCAGATAGTGTACTAACCAAATTGACTCAAGGTGTATTCTCTGTCTCCAATAATGATCCTGTCAGGATTCTCCTTTTTTCCTGCGAAGTATTTGAAAGGCTTTAAGGTCATCTCGCAATACCTCTCCAGGATCTTAAATGGCTTCTCACAGTGACGCCATGCATTGGGTCCAGATCTATAAAGGAATCGCCACAAAATGGTTTGATAAACTCTTTGGTAAAAGAGTCGCTTGGTAATACCTTTTATCTTTGGTTTAAGCACCTTCCATAGCCAAAAGCTCCAACCATACAGAGGGTAAATTTTTAGAACCAATCAACGGCATTTTTTCAGCGCTTAGCAGCAGTTTTTTTATGCTCACATTCGTCGTGTTTTTTGCTTGCATTCGTAAGCTTGACGAAGATAATTTAATGATTGTTAATTGCTGACCAATTGCATTTTATGCAGTATTCAATGTTAGTTTTTATCATGTCATCTTGTTCGAGGTTATTTAGATTTTGTTAATTTAAATCTATTTTATAGTGTCCTCAGTGAGTTTTTTTTTTCTTTGTTTGCTCGTTTATTTTTATTGCTATTTTAGTTTCGACACCTAATAAAGGTATTCTTTTTCTTCTTCGTTTGGAGTTTGATATGTTCACAGCGCTGTACTGCGTTTGTTAGTTAAGGTTTTTGGTTTTGTTTCACGTTGTTCAGTGGCCTAGTGCGCCAAACTGGTGCATTTTGAAATTATAGCCTGTTCCAGGTTCTCGGTCAGTGGGGATGGTCGATAAAGCGGGCGGGCGACGAGCGGACCGAGAGCCTGGAACGGGCTATGAAATTATAATCACAGCAGTTCAAGGAGCAACACTTTTTGGTGCCCAAAAACTTGTACCAACCTTTGAAAATTGAGTAATACTTATCCTAAATGCTAATAGTAACAATCTTACACTTACATAAAGTAGGTCTTCTGCAAACCACATTTTGCGTGAAAGCGAGACAAGAGCCTCTGTTCCAGGTCCACCACAGTTTCACCAATCAAATCGTCTCTGCTGAGGTAGTCGTAATCCATGACTTGGATCTTCAGATCCTTTACTTGAGGTATGGACGCTTTAAACTCGAACGTCCTACGTGCAAAGTAAGAGTAGCAAAACAAGTGTAAACAATGATTGCTGATCACAGCCAACGGATAGCCCGCTCATTTTCTACCCTGCGACATAGAGATTCCCATCTCTTTCTGCTTTAAAGGACCCTAGTCAGCCTCCGCCATTTTTCGAAATTATTGATATTGCATGGTGAAGCGAAATCTTATTGCTTTACTGTAAGTTGTGTTCCTGAAAGTATGTTTAATTATCTTAAGTATTTTGACAGTGATTTCCTTCGTTTCTTCATTGCTCCGAGTAAAATATAATTGCCAAACTCTCTCATGTAAGCAAAAAGAATGGTGTGACTGACTTGGGTCCTTTAAGGGAATCTCTTTCTCGCAGGGTACTCATCTTCGGGTATCCATAAACGATATTCCTATCAACAAACAGGTTTGTTTATTTTTGTTTGTATTGTTGAAACCAGTCAAACGTCCCTTCTGAAGTACATGTAATTACTTCAGTTTCATTCTTCCTTTTTATTTTCTGAATTTTACTCTTGACATGAAAAGTTCAATATTTTAAACCGCAACTAGATTCAAAATTGAATGTTAACGTGCATCGCATGTCTGGCCTCCTGCAGTAGTATCGTTCAGCATCTCACTTACTTTCCAAACACTGGATTGAGTGTATTGGGTTTGAAATTTTCTTGCTCATCGTATTTTTTCTTTCCAAGGGAAACAATGAGGTAGGGGTCAGCCTGAAAGAAAAAAAGAAATTTCATATAAGGTCCTATGATTCGGAAGAACTCGAGGTTACTATAGATACTGTTTCAACTTCGGAGGGTTGCAAAATTTGACGTTAGTTTGCTAACTCTCAGAGCCACTTTTTGCTAATATTCTAATATTTTAAGCACCTTCAAGTAAAAGGACAAACAAGCAAACAAGACGACAACAGATCAACAAAATACATAAAAAGGCCTCATATAATTATAAGAGGACTTACCAGTCCACTAGGATCCTGTGGCTGGAGTTCAGTTGCCTGAGAAGTAAATCAAGGTTGAAAATGTTGTTGAAAATTTTAGGTTTCCAGTCACACGATGTTCTTCCTAACAGTTAAAACGCTTCTATGTTCAAGTTTTGGACTATTAATGGTCTGAATGAACCATACACTGTATTTGTGGAGACATTGAATGCAAGTTTCTCTGACTGGGGTTTAATAAAGCAGTATATCTCACCAGGACAACGTAGACTCGCACTGTGCATTCAATTGGTTCACTGCTGGGAAGGTTAGTGAACATGGTTTCAGGAAGCTCGGTGGTCTCGTCAGGAACAGGGTAGATACGGAACGCTCCCTAAAGAGCAAAGCAAACATTTACGTACTGCCTTTTTATCATTATCCTATGGTGATAAGATTTTATCTCAACAATGCAAAAATATTATTATTATTATCTATTATTATTATTATCATTATTATCTATTATTATCATTTATTATTATTATCATCATCATTATTATTATTATCATTATCATCATTATTATTATTATCATTATTGTTAGAAAAAAAGTAACTTTTCTGAACTCCAAATGAAATAATCCCTATTTCCTTTGTTTACGTCTTTTGCGTCCCTCAAATGTGCACATCTTTTCATCTCTACGTTTTAGATCTCCATTCTCATTATTATAATCATTATTATTATTATTTATTTCGATAAGATCTTTAAATCATTGTGCACACATCTGTGTATTACTTCGTTCCTTGATTGTTTATCTGTATTGGCTTTCGATTTGTTACTGAGATTGGGATTGGGGATTTCCTAAGGATTGGGACAGATCGTAACAAAAACCGCCCAGTCAAAGCTTCACGGTACCCTGGTTAAAGTACAGGTGTCTTCGCACCTTAAATTCACCGACGGTGCCGTCATCGTCTTCGTCGTCTTTCGACGACTTGGTCTTTCCGCGATAAAGTGGGAAGGTTGCAATGAAGTCGTTGAAGCCTTTGAACTCTGGAACCTTCTCCAGTTCCCTGTGATAAATCTAGAAATAGAATGGACATCACAATAGTTCAATACAGTCTTTTCACATGAAGTCACGTCAGCCATATTGGTGCCCATGTTGGTGTCGCAAACTAATCCTGTAGGAGTTGAACTCTTTTCTTATACTAACACATTCTTTTTTTTCCAATTAATTTGCATGGCTGCTAGTCAAGTGAGTAAAACGTTCGGTCGTGTATATGCGGGAAGGAAGCATGATTCACTTAAAGTAGAGAAATCGACGAACGTTTGTCCAACACACCCAATCCTTTCTGAGAATTAAACCGGATGCGCTCAAATGTTGGAGTAGTGTAGTGGAGTACAGTAGTGGAAAATACGGCTTCAAACATTTATGTTCATTTATTTATTTTCGTATATTCTCATTTATTTATCTCTATTTTATAGATCCATGCATTCTAACACTTTGGTCGGCAGATTTCTCATTGGTAGGTTTTCTCGTCGATAGTACGAATATGGAGTGTCTTAACCAGGTCTTCAAATTAACCAACTGCAGGTAAATAATGGAAACGTCAACCGACTCAGAAAAATAAGAAAAAAAGTTTATATACCTTGAGTGTGTCGTAGCCCTTTGACAAATATTTCCTCGTGTGGTCTTGAAAGTCAGCCTTATCGCCTGCTTTGTCGGTAGTGAACAACCCAACAAGCTGGGAAATAAACAATTTCCAAAATTGGGTCATAGTAGTCATCGATATTGTCTTTTGGTACGTGTAAGACTGCGAAGAATTACGAGCGCCTTGCTTTTACCCTTAAAAATGTATGACTAATACTTAATTTAACTACAGTACCTGTTCAAAACCTAAATATACTTGTATGTATTAGTCATTTTGCTGCCAATAACAAAACACACTCACAGAAAAATAAAATAATAAATAATAAAAAGAGCACGTTGTCATACCTTTTCTCCTTTAGACACTCTCGCAGCTCCACCTGCCCCAGACACTGAAGCAAAGTACTTAGACCACCAGTCAAACCTGTTTGCTTCCTATTTGAGTCATCAAAACCATCAGTCAATATTTAGTAAATGTACAACACAATGTTCGTCTAGTGTTTTGCTTTCATTTTTTCTTGGTGGACTTGATTAATTTAGCAGTTTTCCTCTTTTCCAGTAGTGTATGAATAAAGTGTTAATTACGAAGACATTCCGTTATCGAGACCGTCCGTTATTATTTCTATCCGTACTACAAACCCATAGCATGAAACACTATTCTATAATAGTGATATGATCACCATTAACAGATTAGATCAGATTAGATTAGATTACATGAGATTAGAACTATTTCATTCAATGCTACTTTCTAAAATAAATCGATTACACCAGCACGAAACCATCATTGATTACGTAGTCGAGGGTTCATATGCTATATTTTTTTGGGACAGCTCCAAAACTGTGAAAAACCTCCAAACGCCCTCAGTCTTTTGGCACAGGGTTGTAGTTTGGCGTTATGAAGACCACATGTAACAGTGCTTTGAAAATGCCGAAAATCAAATCGAACGTAGAGTTTGTTCCTTACATCGATGAGTTTCTTTCTCTTTTCCTTATCCGCCTTTGCTTTCGCTTTTGCATCTGCCGGTGGTGGAGCATCTTCAGCCTCCTTTATCTCTGGCCAAATCTTTTTCTGAGGGGGTGGGCCATCAGTTAAATCCACAAGTACTTCTGTAAGAAGTAACAGAAAGGTAGGTGAGAGAGTTTTAAACAAGTTTCGTCACGGTTCGCGCATCTTAAAGAGTTTAGGCTAAAGTTTTGAACTTCGTCGTTTGTAATCCGTGTTAATCTTCTCCATCTTCCACCATCCTTGTTCCTTTGTGGTTCATTGTTATCTCTTTGGTGTTTATCTATCTTAGAAAACTATTATTTTCAAGTTTCCTTCAATTTAAAGATAATTTTGTACGTGGCCAATGTAACTCAAAATACCATAACTGAGCTCCTTTAACTTGGCAGCAGCAGCAACAACAACAACAATAATAATAACAACAACAACGGTGTTGCTTTACAAAAGCAACTCAATTGGCTCAGGTACGAACAAGAAGATGAAGTAATTTACCATCCACTTCAGTTTCGTCTTCAGCTGTTTTCTGTGAAGGCAGCTTGCACTTGAAGGGTCCAAGAGACTTGACTGAGTGGATGCCAACCAATGGTTTACGACCAAATGCACGGTTGTCTTTAACCCGGATGTTGATTGGTGGCGAGTACAGATCTTCCACTGGTAGGTTCTTATGATAAGGAAAGATTGAATAGTTTATTTCGGCAATATCCAGACTGACAACGATTGGAAAGACAAGAACTGCCACTGGTGAAATGTGGATAGTCGTGCACTGCGCGTGCATGGATACATGCGCTCGAAGGGGGGATCTAAATAGTCATTGGCAAGAGAATATGAAGATTGGACAGACAGAGAGAAAACCAGACAGACAGACAAAACGACATACATACATACATACATACATACATACAGACAGACAGACAGACAGACAGACAGACAGACAAAACTGTAGTTTTCAACGTCCATTAATTGTAGTTGACAAACAAAACTTACAAGTATCCTCCTTTCTAAGAGTGGCTCTGCAAAATTTGGCGTCTTCTTCGTGTTTTCGATAACGGTTGATGGGATGACTTCACCCATGCATTCAAACTCGATTGAAGGCGATGTCACTTTTACCATCTGGTATTTCTTCATGTTTCTTACACCCCAACAAAGAACCTTAAAATATAATCAAATGATCTTTAGCTGTGAGCATAAAAATTGTATTGCATTATCTTTCTAATGAATCAACGGTTGAAGTAAAGCTGAAACCTAGCTAGCGTAATGAAATGATCATAATAACTGGACATGACTCTGCAACAAACAAGTGGATTCTTTTCTTACAAAATTGCGTCTTACCTCCACCGCTGTCCTTTGTACCACAGGTCTCACTTTGCTACGTACAGGGTACACGTCTCCTCGCAGGGCGGGAGGGTGGGGCAGCTTTGCTCCTTCGTCCTAAAAGAAAATACTCTGATCACAGCCTTGTTGTGTTCTTTTAATGGTATTAAATAAAAAAGATTGGTCCTAAATTATTATCTTGCGTCCCAGACAGTCTACACTACCCGCCCAATAGATGGAGGATTTTGCGGCACGTCCTGCTGCACCCAGAC